TTTTCTTATTTTCAGTCCAGTTCTTTATCATCCAGGCAGGAAAAAGGCCCCTAACTCAAGGGATGAGCCAGCATCTGCAGCTTAAACTGGAGACTCACAAGGAAAAAAGCATAAATACGAGTTAAACAGTCTTCATCCACCTTTCATTTCTTTCTGTTTTCCCTCAAAGCAGCCAGACGTCATTTAAAGTTCTTTAGTGACTGATCCAGGATTGATGAGCTCTTTCAGGGTTTTTGTGTGGACTTTTTCTACTTTTTAACTCATTTTCTGTCCAGTTTTCTTCTTTGTTAAGTAAAAAAAAACTCAAACTAACTCAATGGATGAGCCAGTATCTGCAGTTTAAAGTTGATCTTCAGGCTCTAAGACAAATCATTGGTTCCATTTCTGGAGCTGATGGAGGAAAAAGGCCCAAAAAAACAGTCTGACAGACAGGTAACAGGATTTCTGAGCTCTTTGGAGGATTTTTATAGGACATTTTCTACTTTTTCACTCATTTTCTGTCCAGTTTTCATCTTTGTTGAGTCAGAAAAAGGCCCCTAACTCAAGGGATGAGCCAGTATCTGCAGTTTAAAGTGGATCTTTAGGATCTAAGACCTAAGATCTAAACATTGTAAATGTTTTTTATAAATGGCCTGTTTTCAGCTAGAGACAAGTGTTTCTTCCTGGTTGTGTTCAGAACAGATTCGGTACCCTGATGCTTTTATGGTTTTATAAAGAATATATAAAGGTTTTATTTGTTTAAAGGGAAAAGATGATACAACAAAACTCACCGATAACACAAACTAAAGGACAGTGTGTGTTCAAAGAAGCTGGGACGCCTTTGACAGTTTAATAAGCGCCTTGTATTCAGCATGAGACATAACAAATTGTCAAAACCTGCAGACTACAGCTCTGAGAGGCGGCTGTCGCCTCCATAATGACAGATTTTCCAGACTGGGGGAGTTTTTCCCGGCTAATCGCATCATTTTTTGGCCTTTTTTTTGCTTCCTGAAAGTCCAGCTCTCATCCACCCTCCACTCTCCTCCATTTTTATCTATTTTTTTTACCCTGGGATCCTTTTTTTCCCTCTGATGGGAGATATTTGCTGTGTGGTGGCCGTGTTCTTTCGCTCTGATGTGCGTTATCATTTGTAATCTTTTGATCTGCAGAGATGATGATAATCCTGCCACATGCCTCCCTGATCACTAGTGCTAGAGCTGGGCCTTTGCTCTGGAGCCGGTCAGTGTTTCTCATTTATGCAACAGGCTGAGGCAGACAGGCTAGCATCACCTGGAAGGTTTAGCTGGTTGTGTCACTTATTTTCTGTTGTTTTGCTGATTCTTCCACTAATATTTGGTTGTTTTGTTGCTTTTTCTATTTAGTTTTCGTTGTTTTGCTGTTTTTTCCACTAATTTATGGTTATTTTTCTGCTTTTTCTACTTATTTTTTGGTTGTTTAGCTGCTTCTTCGACTTGTTTTGCATTATTTTGCTGCTTCTTCCACTAATTTTTGGTTGTTTTTCTGCATTTTCTACTTATTTTTTGTTATTTTGCTGCTTATTCCACCTATTTTTTGGTTGTTTTGCTGTTTCTCCAACTTATTTTGCTTCTTCTACCACTAATTGTTGGTTGTTCTTCTGCTTCTTCCATTTATTTTTCATTTTTTTTGCTGCTTCTTCCACTAATTGCTGGTTGTTTTTCTGCTTCTTTTACTTATTTTTGGTAGTTTAGCTGCTAACTACCATTAACCCCCCAGGTGACCTCAATAGCCCCCAGCAGGAGGGACCAGAGCCCCCTTTGGTTTCCCCCTAACTCTTCACTTCCACCTCCAGTACATTAACTCAGAGCTCCTCCATCATTAGAGCTGAAGAAGCTTCTGGATCAGAGGACAAACTTCACCTCCATCTGGATAACTGGACTCTCAAAGCTGGACTATGACCGGGAAGACTGAGGACCTTCACAGGTACCTTTAGGAGTATTAGGAGTTTCTGCTCTCCAAAGTTGAATTATCTTAATTTTCCTGGTGTTCATTGGCCTTTCCTCAAGCTCCTAAAAAGAAGAAAACCTGGACGACAGACAACCAACACTCACATCTCATTTAGCTCCACATCAGAGTGATTTTATAGAGTTGTGAGCCTCAAAAAGGGCTAGAAAAGTCCATAGATCCAGACCCTGCTTTGTGGCAGTTGTTGACAGAGTTGTCGAGGTTTTCATCACATTTCCCCTCAGCCTCTGCTGTTGTCTCAGCTCTGTCTGGAGGCTCAGTTTATTGTTTTTACACCCTCCAGACTCCTCTCTGCCCACTGAAAGGAACAGAAATCAATACACCTCGGCCGGTTTATTGATCGTTTGGTACTTGGAGACAGTTTTGGGAGGCTGGTTGCATCTTTACCAGCAATCGAACGGCACTCTGAGGAGATGAAAGGAAAGTGGGGACAAATTGTGTCATCACATCCACGTTTTCCCCTTAAATCTCCTAATTTTAGCCTCATTCTTAAAATGTTTGAGGGATTAGGGCTCTGAGAGCTTTTCTTTGAAAGCTTTAAATGCGTCATCACCTGTAGAGGGAAGAAACATTACCTTAATAAAGCTGAGCACCTGATTGGCTCACAGGGGGGTTTAACCCTATAAAGCCAAATGTGTCATATCTGATCCGGTTTCTTTTGGATCTGAGACTTTCTGCATCATTCAGTGGTAAAAGCTTTGCTCAAACCCCTGTTGTACACATTCAGATATACCTGATAACAGCCAGTAGAAGACTACACCAACATAGATTTCTGACTTATTGCACGCTAATTTGATCAAAATAATTTCAGTTTTTTTTCCTCATATGTTATTGAGGGGCCAAAGAAAGACTTCAGACCCAAAAAATCCAATATTCTTCCTATTTTTCTTGGATCAGGCTTTAAAGGGTTAAAGAAACCTAAAAAAGTCAGACCCTTTTTACCAGTTCAGCTGATGAAAGTTGCTGTTAAGAGTCCATGATGCTCCTTTTCTTTTCTCCATATCTTCCATCCAACATCTGGTTGAAATACCTAAAGTTTAAATCCAGAAACATTCAAAAGCAACAGCACGTTTTGACCCGTTTTGGTCAGTTTCATGCTAACCAGGTGTCCATGGGAGAGGATCTCTGGACGTGGCTGACGTGTCCTCTGGTCCCTAAGAGGCTTATCTCCTCCAGCTTGTAACAGAATGAAACTCAAATCTGGATTGGATCGGGTCTCTGGAGAAGCCGAGGATCAGTCAGCCTCAGCACAGAGGTTTTTCTCACATAGGCCTCCCTCTTAGCACTGAGAACTAAAGATATTTAAAGATATTTCCTCTTCTTAGAGGGGAATGACGCAGTGGGAGCTGGTTCCAGTCCAAATGTTTGATAGTAATGATAATGATAGCAGTAATAGGACTATGAACGGTGTGAGGATCCTGTTCTTTGACTTCTCTAGAGCTTATCTTTATCTTTTTATTTTTTGGGGGAAAACTCTCTAAAGTACAGGTGGATGCCATCCTCCACTTGGTGAGTCAAAGAAAGGAGACACAGAGGAGGACCATTGTTGGTTGTTTATCTGCTTCTTTCACAGATTTTTCGTTGTTTTTCTGCTTTTTCTACTTATTTTTCATTGTTTTGTGATTTTTCTACTTATTTTTCATCGTTTTGCTGGCTTTTCTACTTATTTTTCGTTGTTTTGCTGCTTTTTTTTAAACCAACTTTTGGTTGTTTTTCGGCTTGTTTCACTTATTTTACATAATTTTACTGCTTCTTTTACTTATTTTTGGTTGTTTTTTTGCTTTTTTAAACTTATTTTTCAGCTGTTTATTCTTATTATTTTTCATGGTTTTACTGCTTATTTTACTTATTTTTAATTGTTTAGCTGCTTCTTTCACTTATTTTTTATTGTTTTGCTGCTTCTTTTACTTATTTTTGTTTGTTTTTCTGCTTTTTTAAGCTTATTTTTCAGTGTTTAGCTGTTTTTTTTCTTATTATTATTTTTCATTGTTTTGCAGCTTCTTTTACTTATTTTTGGTCATTTAGCTGCTAACCACCATGAACCCCCCCAGGTGACCTCCATAGCCCCCAGCAGGACGGACCAGAGCCCCCTTTGGTTTGCCCCTAACTCTTTACTTCCACCTACAGTATATTAACTCAGAGCTCCACCTCAGAAAGCAGTCTTGTCTTATAAACCGTCTTCTCTGCATATACTTTCTCTGCATATACTTTCTCTGCGTATACTTTCTCTGCGTATACTTTCTTGCACCAACTCACATGGTTCAGGAAGTGGGTCGTTTTCAGGCTTCTGCAGAACTTGATGACAACTCGACCCCATTTACTGAAGCAGCTGCTGTTGGAGCGAGAAACCGAGTGCAGATTTAGAAATATGTTTCAGTTTTTTATGTATTCTGCTCACTGGATTACATCAATCCAACCTCAAACTGTCAAATTTGTCCTCACAAAGTCCCAATAATTTCCTTTGAAGTGCACTGTTGACTGTGCTCGTCTAATTTACATATTGAGTCTTTCAGTCAACATTTAGAAATAACACTTTACTCCTTACCAGCACATCTTTGCACCCAGTTTCATATTAAAGGTGAAAAATAACCGAAAACATGTAAAAAAGCAGCCATTAACTTGTTAATTTACACATGAAAAAACTGAAAAAAAGACACAAAACTGCCAGAAGTGACAGAAAAAAAGCTGTAAAAACTTTCTCTTGCCGGAGAAACGGTGGGGATGGGAGGGGAGAGGGGCAGGATGTGGAAAGCCGAGGACGGACTGATGCCAGAGGGATGGGGGTGTGGAGAGAGAGGGAGGATGGAGGGATGAGGGAGGGAGGGAGGGAGGGAGGGAGGCGGGCGCGTGAGGGAGATGAACGGGAGTCAGACACAGAGAGCAGTCGTGATTAAACTCAACAGTTTGACAGCAGCAGAAGGCTTTCACTTGCAGCCCCTCCTCCTCCTCCTCCTCCATCCCTCCTCCTCCATCCCTCCATCCCTCCTCCATGCCTCCGGAGGGTGCGCGCGGCGGCCATGGCGAAGATGCGCGTGTCCTACGAGTACTCGGAGGCCGAGGACAAGAGCATCCGGCTGGGCTTGTTCCTGATCGCCTGCGGGATCCTCAGCCTCTTCATCCTGGGCTTCTGCTGGCTCAGCCCCACGCTGCAGAGCCTCCAGAGCAAACCGGCCAACTGCACGGTGAGCGCGAGCCCCCGCCGCGGCCGCGCGCACAGCCGCCGCTTCTCAACTTTTACGGTTTTTATTTTCTCATAGCGCTCATTGCACTGTGAGTTGTTGCGTTGTTTTAGCTCGTTTGCAGAAGCCTTCCTAAAAAAGAAAGTCGTCTGAACGCGTCAGGATCGATACGATTAGTTATTTGATCCGTTTTTTAACTGAACGATTTAGTGCTAAATTCGTTTTAATTTAACTTTTGCCGCAGAAAAAATAGTTAAGTAGAGTTTGAAGCAGGATCTTAGAACGCTAAGTCTCTTAATCAGAAATTTCAATGACTTATTCTCTCTAAAAACTATCAAAACAACATTAAATAAACATTAAAGAGCAGCTAATTTAAGACAGCTAAACAACATGGTTTTATTTGCAGGGATCCCCAGTCTAATTGGTTTTTACTTTAGAAAGAATTGTGATGGTTGGTTGAAGACAAGTAAAGATGATTTCTTCTGCTCAGCTACACTCAAAACTGTTTTTAATAGAGCACAATTCTGCAAGAAATGCAATTATAGTTTCTCTGTTTCGTAGTTTTTAGCATTTTTAGGTTCCAAATGTGTAATCTTTGGATTTAATGGGTTAAAACATAAGGAAGTAGTTGAGGACACAGTTATTTGGCATTTTATTGACTCACTGATGACTAAGTTTGAGGAGAATTGACGGATTATTCACTAACAAAATGAGGTTTTAGCTTTAAAACACAGAGATAAGCAGAGTCATGTCCAAATTATTTGTGCAAACACACCTGTGTAACTGTAATGATTAATACAATTTGAACTCATTCTCTAAAAATAGATGGATTTGAACCTGGTAATCTGAGCATAATGAGGAAAGATGACGTTGAAATTGACTAAACTGGATTTCGAAGTTAGATTGAGATGTATTGGTTTAGAAATAGTCACATTTATATTCCTTTTATGACTTTGGAACAATTTTTTAACCCTCAAGTTGTAGCATTAGCATCAATAATCATCTGTAATATCAGTATGTATTTACATTGTTTACACAGTGACTTCTCTATAGATTATAATGTTAAATGAATTTGAGATGCCTCTAACTTGGTTCCTCATCTTGAATAGTGTAGGTGGTGTTTTCTGGCCAGGCAAAGTAAAACCCTGGAGTTTTGCTTTAAACTACAGATTTGTTTAGCTAATTATTTATCTTTGCCTGTGAACTTTCCGATGATATATATATAATTAGGGGGTCCTTGGCCTGGAAAACCTTGAAGACCCCTGTTTTTATTTATTTTTTGTTGTTGTTTAGAATAATCTCTGTTAAAACTCCCAGTGGAATATTAGTGGAAGCAGCTTTCTTGTTGTTCTTGTTCTCAGTCGGCAGCATTAAAGGTGATCTTTAGTTTGGACAGAAATCCAAACATGAGTTATATTAATGTTTGTGGTTGTCGATACAAAGCGGATTTGTCCACCTTAAGTTTGTCCGGTCTCCTCCTGCTTTCCACCGTGGAGCATTTAAACTGTGTGTGCAGCATTTTCCAGCCTCTGCGAGTTTCCCTGTGATGAATGATGAACACCAGCCTGATTTATGGGGCTTAATTTAGCTTATTGCATCATCCTGGGTGAATGTCCTAAAGTGATTTTGCCTGTTTGTTTTCAATCTGTTCTCCAGAGCCTTGTCAATGAGATCAGAGAAACTTTTTCATGGCCGAATTCAACTTACCGTAATCTGCAATCATTTGCTCTGTTGCAGCTTTCTAAACTCTTTTGGGGTTATGTTTGATGGCTCATCTCTTGGGTTTCCTTCTATCCTCATTTAAGGTTCACACATGCTAATCTACAGTTGATGTTTCCAGGCAAGTTCTGACAACATTTTAGGAGCAGAATGTCCATTTTTCACTGGTTTATTCTTGTTTCCAAACCCAGAATTGCTCTGTTACTGTTTAAATCTGCAGCCATCAGCTCCATTTTAAATGTCAAATAACCTCATAATAAAACCAGAACATTGACAAATAAATTAAGAACTGCTTACTTTAACTGAAAAAATTGGCATAATAATGTTTTTTAAGCAACTTTGTGAAGGGTTGGGGTTATAATTCTGGGGCTAAAGACACGGAGCCCCATCTATTCACCCTCAATTATCCTTCAGATTAATCCATTTTGTCCTCTTTCCTTTCTGAAACTCCTTCTGAGACGCTGTTGTCTATAAACAAACAAATAGATTAAGAGCTGGTTACTTTAACTGATCACACTGAAACAAATGGCCTGATAATGGTTTGAAGCAACTTTGTGAAGGGTTGGGGTTATGGATTTTTCACTTATTTATCCTTGTTTCCAAACCCAGAATTGCTCTATTACTGTTTAAATCTGCAGCCATCAGCTCCATTTTAAATGTTAAATAACCTATTAAAACCAGAACATTGACTAATAGATTAAAAACTGCTTACTTAACTGAAACACCTAGCCTAATAATGGTTTTGTGAAGATAATTCTGGGGCTAAAGACACAGACTCCCATCTCTTCACCCTCATTTATCTTTCAGATGAATCCATTTAAGTTTATTTCCTTTCTGAAGCTCTTTCTGAGATCCTGTTGTCTATAAACAAACAAATATATTAAGAACTGCTTACGTTAACTGAAAAAAAATGGCCTGATAATGGTTTGAAGCAACTTTGTGAAGGGTTCGGGTTATAATTCTGGGGCTAACGACACAAAAACCCCATCTCTTCACCCTCATTTATCCTCCAGATGAATCCATTTAGCCTTATTTCCTTTGTGAAACTCCTCTTCTTGTTGTCTATAAATTGTCCGGTGCTGATAAACTGGTTTTCCCACATCCAGGAGCTGGAACAGTCTGTCCTGGCTGCTGGCTTTGCCTCTTTTTGCCTCTGTTAGTGGGAGAGGGAGCAGCCTCCGGAGCAGGTTTTTATCAGAATCAGAATCAGAATCAGAATCAGAATTAGGTTTATTGCCAAGTAGGTTTTCACATACAAGGAATTTGCTTTGGTGTTTGGTGCCCAGCATTGCACCAAAACACCGAGGCGGCCTTTTTTTTCGGCGCCAAGGCAAATCTTCAGAACAAAAAGAGTACATTGGGAAAGCGGGTTTTTATCTCTCTGTGTTCTCCTCCTCCCTCAGGTGGTGTCTGTGCTGCGTCCGGAGGAGATGTTCGAGTGTGTGTTCACCTGTGGGGCGGACTGTAAGGGCACCTCTCTCTACCCCTGCCTGCAGATCTTTGTCAACAACTCCGAGTCCAACTCCGTGGCCCTGCTGCACTTTAATGAGCAGCAGCTGGTCCTCAACCCAAAGGTAGGACTAACAAAACCCTCCTGCGTCTGGGGAAGAGGGGGGAATGCTTCAAAACAAATCCAATTAGCAGATATTTAAGGATCCACACGGTACAGAGTGAATAACGGAGACACAGAACTGTTCTGATCTTAACCCTTTAAAGCGTGATCCAAGAATAAAACAAAACAGAAAATTACATTTTTTGGTTTGAATTCCTTATTTGGCCTTTTAACAAAATATGTAAAAAGAAAAAACAGAAATACATTTTTAATATTAATAATTTCTTACTATGCGATAAGTCAAGATTATTTTTTGTGTATTCTTCTGCCCCCTGTTATCAGGTGTATCTGATTGTGTACAATAGGATTTTGAGCAAAGTTTTTACCATTAAATTATACAAAAGGTGTCAGACGCAAAACATTTGGCATTATAGGGTTAATATCTCAGACTAAGGCTCTCATTTATGAGCATTTCCACCAATTTGTCTTGTGGCGTTACTGATCTTTATCCTGATATATTGGAAAAATCCTCAATAATTTTCTGTCTCAGTGATATTCTGTGATCAATGTATGCTCCAGAAGAGCAGCATTTATCTCCTAATTTGATCTTTGTTGGTCCGACAAGTTTTTAAAGCCATATACTCTCATTTCTTCTGCTTTAAATAGTTCATTTCTGCCCACTGAATCGATCCTGTATAGGATGCTGGACACGGTCTCCAAGTAGCTGGAAAAATGCTAATTCTAGATTAGAGGATTTAGGGTCTTTTCTGAATTTCCCTCAGACAGGGGTTTGGATGGTTGGTTCAGACTTATTTTCCTTTTACTCTGAGAAATGTATTTCTTCAGATAGTTCTTCATGAATAAAACTATAATAATATTAATAATAAATACAAGAAATGACTCGATTTGATAGAGAGACTTCTGTCTTTTATACTAAATGCAAAGGTAACATCCAGAAGAAATAAACGACTGAAAGCTGGTACGTATCTAAAAGTTGATTACACTTCATTTCCTCAAAAGAACATAAGAAACCGGCTGGTTGAAACAAATGAAAGCAATCAGGGCTGCTTCTCCCATGTGAGCGTGAGGAGTGTTTTCCTGATTGGTTTTTGAATCACAGCTGTCTGAAGGCCTGAGCGGAGCAGAAATCTTCCCGTCTCAGAGAGCTGAGAGGGGAAAAGAGGCCCACAGCTGGAGGGAAACACTTCTGGGTTTTACACCCTCTCTGCCAGAGCTCAAGGACTCTCTGGGGCTATTTTGGTTTGATACGGGTTAGAAAAGTAAACAGGATTTGAGTCGTTAGTTTTTTTCTGTGGTTCTGAACTAGACTGACTTGTTTCTTGTTTCCTGGTTCTGGTCTGAACTGGACTGATGTGTGCTTTGAAACTTATATAACAGTATAAAAGCAATAATTACACTTCCTGTTGGAGGACATTAACATACAGAAATATATAATATATATACCACAAAGAGTAGGTATCCAGTACAAAACTAACAATAAATTGAGAGATTTTTCTCTGTCATCAATATTCTTTCTCACAATCAGCTCATGAGCTTGTTGAGTTTATTTACATAGCACCTCCAGCTTCAGGAAAGATAAAAGAAAAGAGGCTTTTTTAGCAACTACACCAAATTTGTGGAGTATTTCTGATAAAATCTGTTAGATATCCATACATCAATGGGTTCTTTCTGCCATAACCACCGTAGTTAACCCTCCCTGTGAGGAACATTAAAGGATTTAAGCTTCTTTAGGTTTAAAAAGTTTATTCTTTGACCATTAAGTCAAATATGTCTGGGTAATTATTTGCCTAAAGCTCAAGCCTGTTCATTTCTGCTTCAGATTTTTCTTATACTTTTGGATCTGGTCTTCAAGTAGCGCCTAATGGATAGCTTCTTTTAAATGTTTTAAGATGTAATGGACGGAAAGAAACCAGAAGGACTGATGCATTAGTGAATGCAGTTACATTATCTACACTTTTTTGGCCTTTTAGAGGTCTACAGCCTCCCTGAAGAGCAAAAAAAGAGTTATATTAGAGCTTAAAAAACCACTACCAGACTGAGATGAACAAAGAAGTTTAGCATCCCTCTGCTGGAGCCTGAGCCTGGGCCCTCGCTACGGCAACAGAGTAAATATAGAGGCCAGAGACGGCGCGTCATCCCTGCCGCTCCGTCGCCGTGGCAACGGCGATGTGGAGACACAGGGAGAGAGGCAGACGAGTCACGCTTCGTTCAGGAGTCCTTTAATGTTCCTCACAGGGAGGGGAGGAGACCCAGAAAGGATGGAGGCCTCCAAAAGGAAAACCTGGGTCCCTCCATTCTGAGAAAGAAAACATAATTAACTGGTCGACCAGAAGGGTCCAAATATCTTCGATTCCACAGTCTAACAGAAACATCGGCTCAAAATGCTGCTTTATGTCTATAATATAGTGTTTTAAAATGTCTATTAGCCAGATTCTGGTCTGTTTTTATGGCCTTTAGGACACGTTTTGCAGCTATTCTGTGTGAAATGTGTCTAAAAACAGCATCCTGTGGAGGTTTCCTTCAGTTTGAGGTGGGAAATTTTGATGATTAGTGAGAAAATCAGAAGAAAATATTTCAAAATCTGCAATAATTTACACTCAAACTAACCAAAGTGTTAATAAAAAAAATTTAAAAGACCTTATTCAGGATGAAAAAGCAAAAAATAGTAGTAGAAAGCAGTACATTTATCATCTTTTTTTTTACTCTTTAGGTTCAAATTTGTAGTGAAAAACACGTTGAACACAAACGTAACATAAAAATAATTGTTAGGGATATAATTTTAGGGAAGGCAAGTTTATTTTAGAGCACATCTTGTGTACAAGACAATTCAAAGTGCTTTACAGAGAGTTTAAAGCAGAAAATTGGTTCTGAACTGGTCTGATGTGATCTGTTCATTACAGCCAGACTTTGAACCCGTTTATCACCTTATTGAACATCAAGTCTCCGATCTGTCTATCGACCTGCACATGGACCATCTGATCCAAGTTATTGATCCATTATTGATCCAAGTCCGGTCTCAGCTCCTGTCTCCTATCTCAGTCCGGCTCCTATCATAACTCCTCCCAGACCTCTGCACCCTCTACTCCTCTTTCTGGCCTTCCCTCTATCTCCTCCTGTCTCCACTGACTCTGACTGGGGGTTTTCCTCCAGAGAACTGTAAAATTGTGTCTACTTTGTAAGTCGCTTTGGTTTACATAGTCTAAATGCAGAAACGGAAACATAATAGCCCCCGAAACAGCTTCAAAAGCCCCCCAAAAAGATCTTTAAAGCCCCAAAAAACAGCTTTAAAGCTACAAAAATAGCTTTAAAACCACAAAAAACAGCTTTAAAGCCACAAAAATGGCTTTAAAGCCCCCCAAAAACAGCTGTAAAGCCACAGAAAATAGTTTTAGAGCCACAAAAAACTGTTTTAAAGCCACAGAAACAGCTTTGAAGCCACAAAAACTGCTTTAAAGCCCCAAGAAACAGTTTTAAAGCCCCAACAAACAGTTTTAAAGCCACAAAAATAGCTTAAAAGTCCCCAAAAATATCTTTAAAGCCCCAAAAAACAGCTTTAAAAACCACGAAAAACAGCTTTGAACAGCTAGACCCTCTACTCCTCCTGTCTCCTCTGACTCTGACTGTGGGTTTTCCTCTAGAAAACGTATTATCAAATTGATGATAACCGTAAAATGGTGTCTACTTCGTAAGTGGTTTTGGATAAAAGCGTCTAAAAGCAGAAACAGAAACATTTACCCTGAACCCTTGGTGGCCTGGGGACCTTTCACCCCGGACTGACTCGGGAGGACTGAGTTTGTGGCTGTAAAACCGCTGAGAGTCAGAATTAGAGACAGACTGGGAGTTAATTGGAGTTGTGTCTGTGGGGGGGATCAATTAATGGAGCCGCCTGTGGACCGAAGACCTTAAGATGAGCTTCAGATCAACACCAGCTCAGGTCTGTTTATGTGCAGAAAACATGAAACGGCTCCTTAAAAAGTTCTGGAATAGCCTTTATTTCTTAGTTTGTTTCGTACTGATTGTTCTTTAGTCTGGTGCTCGGAGATAAATGAGGTTTCAGTTTCTGACTCAGAGGCAGATATTCTCCTCTTTTACTGGATTCAGAACTTCTCTCATTCGTTAGAACAGGTTTAGAAGTTTTTGCGTTTGTTTAATAAGCATTTATTAACACATACACACTCCCTCACACACACACACACACACACACACACACACACACA